ATCAACATATTCTTGATTACCTAGATAATCAAAACATTACTGTGTACGAAGTCGTTGATTGGTTATTAAAAAATCAAAGTAATGTCAATTCCATTTTTTTACTAGGATATTTCAACTTTTTTGGAATTGAAATAAATGAAAGCAAGGAAAATGCATTTGATTTGTTTGTTAATGCTTCGAAACAAAATCACATATTAGCGCATCTTTATGTTGGGAAATGTTATCAAAATGGAGATGGTGTCGCAAGAGACGACAGGTTAGCTTTTGAATATTATGACAAAACAACTGAAGAAGATTTCGCAGCGGGGCAATTGCAGATTGGTTACTTTTATAGCAATGGGATCGGGGTTAAAAAGAATTTAAAAAAGGCCATTCATTGGTATGAAAAGGCCGCAAATAATGGGAATATAAATGCCATTTATAACCTTGGGCTTTGTTATAAAAATGGAAAAGGTGTTGATATAGATTATAATAAATCCTTTGAATTATTTAAGCAATCTGCCGTGGGTGAATATTTAGGTGGAATACTGATGTTAGGATATTGTTATAATAATGGAATTGGAACTGATATTGATAAGCAAAATGCATTTGAATTGTATCAAAAAGCCGCGAATTTAGGAAGTCCTATAGCGCAATACAATCTTGGATTAATGTATGATAATGGAGATGGAGTCGTAAGGAATATGGATAAAGCCTTTGAACTTTTCAAAAAATCAGCTGACGGGAATTATTTAGATGGAATATATAAGTTAGGATATTGTTATGATAATGGAATTGGAACTGATATTGATAAGCAAAATGCATTTGAATTGTATCAAAAAGCCGCGAATTTAGAAAGTCCTATAGCGCAATACAATCTTGGATTAATGTATAATAATGGAGATGGAGTCGTAAGGAATATGGATAAAGCCTTTGAACTTTTCAAAAAATCAGCTGACGGGAATTATTTAGATGGAATATATAAGTTAGGATATTGTTATGATAATGGAATTGGGACTAGTATTAACAAGCGAAGAGCGTTTCAATTATATCAAAAGGCTGCTAATTTAGGAAATGGCAAAGCACAATGTAATCTTGGAGTAATATATAATAATGGGGACGGGATTGAAAAAAATATGGATAGAGCTGTTTATTGGTACGAGAGAGCGGCGGAAAATAACAATACAAAAGCTATTTATTATCTAGGACTTTGTTACTTAAATGGAGATGGAATAGGAAAAAATGCTAATAAAGCATTTGAAAATTTCGCAAAATCAGCCGATGAAAATGATTCAAATGGGATTGGTATGTTAGGATATTGTTATTATGAGGGTATTGGAACTTATGTTAATAAGCAAAAGGCATTCGAGTTATATCAAAAAGCCGCTAATTTGGGAAGTATGAAAGCTAAATATAATCTTGGATTAATGTATGAAAGTGGGGATGGAATTACCAAAGATACCGAGCAGGCTATTCGTTGGTATTTGGAATCTGCCGAACAAGGATGGAAGCTGCCACTAGATAAGTTGAATGTGCTTTTGAAATAAAATTTCCTTTATTAAAATTTTTTTTATTTGTATTATATTTATTAATATTTATTTGTTTATATAATATATTAAGCATTTGAAAAAGCTACTTCATTTAAATAAATTTCCAACACCTTAATAGACATAGTTTTATTTATTTTTTTAAAAAAAAAGTATTATATACATGTACATAAAATGGGGACTCGCATAGCAAAACTCGGGGTTACGTCGAATATGCGATTTCGAGAAAATCGAGGTTTAAGTTAACCAATCGATTTTCGAAAAAAAAAACAATTTTTTCAAAAATGGCCTTAACATAGAACGAAAATTTGCACAAATGTAATTGAAAAAATAGGCTTCCATTTCCTTCTTTTGACACATTTTTTTTATTTGGTAATAAAATTTATATAATACGTATTTTTAATAAATTTAGTATTTAATTCGTAAAAAAATGACCGTTCCGAAAACCTTATTTTTTTTTTTGAGATTTCAACATTTGCAAGTACTAAAAAAAAAAAATAATAATGAAATGGCAATATCAAAGCAAAAAAAACAGTCTTATTTTGTTTGATTATATTGTAGATTTTCGAACCTAATTAAAATAATTTAATTTAATTTGTTTCATGTTTCTTTTGGCTTAGGACAATATCACGAAAGGGCCAACATAAGGTGCGATTTCTTTATACAATTCCTCTTGTCTCTTCAAAGAAAGTGGTCTAATTCCAATTATAGAAGGTAGAATATCAAAATCAAAGTAAAGTTACGAATCGTAGCTTTTTTATAATCATCTTCGAGTTTAGCAAAATTTGCAAAAGTTTTAAAGAAAAAGGCAACGACAAAGGTTAGACCTTTGGGCATATGGGCATATGATCATCACAAATCTCAAATCTCGTGATTAGTCCTAACCCCGGGTTAACTGTGCGGGTCCCCGAATGTCGTCTTTGTGGTATTTATAAACAATAATGCTTTTTCCTACAAACAATTATTAAACGCGTATACCCCAACTTTACTTTCGCAGTCATTCAAAAAATGATGACCAATAACAAGAAAGTAATTCGAAGAAACTTTAGAATCTTTATCCTTTATGACAAACAAAATATGTACGATAAGATAGCCAATAATCATCTATCTAATTTTCAATTACATTCGCGTTTTCTAAATTCTTTTTGAATAAATGGATTGTGGGTTTGGGTTTCTCGCATTGAGTGGATAAAGAATTGGCGGTTAAAATTATCATTTTTGGCCTTGTGTCAATAATTGTTGCAAAAATGCTCTATTTTGGGAACTATCAGACTTAATAAGTTTTTAATAAAGAAGTCTTTTTTTTCCTCCAACTAATTTTACGTATTCGCGTCGATAGAATTTAAATTTTTTTCCATTGAATATTCTCTTCAATATTTTTATCTGAGGGGTTTTTCTCTTCTACTTAACATTACTTTGCATCAAAATTTCTACACCGCATTAATAAACTCTGTAGTTGTTTGTTCTAAATATTTTATGAATTTTTAACGTATTTCATTAAACGATTTCTTAAATTTGTGAAATTTTGTTTCTTTTCATCATTTGAGATTTGATTTATGTTAAATTGTGAACAAAAAAAAAAAAAAAGAGAAAAAGGTTATTAAAGGAAATAATTTTCATGCAACTTTCATTTTATTTAAAATTCATAGCACTTCTGTAACGGAATTTCAAATCCCTTTACAGAAAAAGTTGGCTTCCACGGGCAAGGGTAGCGATGGAGGCGTTGAATAATATCATCAGATGAATTTACAGTGATTTTATTATAAAATTTTCTATTGTTTTTATTTCATAAAATAAATCGAAATTTTAGAGATCTTTCAGCTTTCGCTTCATGTCTAAAAAATTTTTATTGTTTTATGAAAAAGTTAAAATACAGTACGAACAAAAATTTAAAGGTATCGTAAGGCTATAAAAATAAGCGGTGAATTATAACGCGAGATTAAAAGATTGTGACATTCTCATGAGCCATATGAACCATGAATTTACGTAAAGTTTAAATTCTCCTTGGACCATCACCACCATCACCACCACTAACACCATCACTATTATTATTTTGATTACGATGATAACCTCTTGCAGAGAACTCGATCAATAATACCATTGTGAGCATATTTTTTTTGCCATTCTGCACGATTTCTAGCTACCAATGAAACTCACCTAATAAACACTCTAAGCCTACATCATTAATCTGATCGATTTGCCAGTTCTGCTGAAATGCATTCCTAACCGGATAGCGAATTGATGTACGAGACTATATGTTCTCGAAATTTGAATGTGACATTTTCCAAGATGCTAAGGTTCCCTGAAAAAACGAAGAAAAAATAAAGATTAAATTCGCAAAAATATTAATCTAACACGTGAACTTACGCTAATGGACGTACCGTAGCAGCAAGAAAAGCATGGTATTTTTAGAATACGGTATTTTTGAATTGTCAGATTCGGTAATTATACGAATTAATCTATCCAAATATGAATTTTTATAATAGCAATTGTTGGCGTTTCTGCTACAAGTTTAAAACCTTTAAAACCTTTTATTTCATCAATTAAACCTTGAGTTGACTATTATTAAAGTCTTCACATTGCGAAATATAATCGATTAAATTGTTTTTTTTTTTTGCTTAGCAAAATCATTACCAAAAGCACATCATGTCAAACAATTTAGTCCCTAATTCAAGAACTTCTTTTAATTCTTGATTCGTTTGCCTTGAGCTAGCTGCCAAAATTCGAAGCTTTATAAAATATTTATATTGCTTCTTCAAAAGGCTGGTTTCATCACTTTACATAAGAGCCCTACTAGATGAACATTCTCAGTAAAACTCTCCTATTATTTATTGTTTTAAAATAAATCGCGACAATTTATTGTCAAATCACGTGCAAAAGCGTAAAAAAAAAAAGTTGAAAGTATTTTCTATCAAATCATCGTTAAATTAGCAACCCAATCGTAATAATTTGGTATAAATTGAAAGCCATTCTTTTTGATGTTTCCAACTATAGAAATTACAGCTTTGTATGGAAAATAACCAACTAATATCTTGCACAGCCTTATAAGTGATTTATTGTTTACACATATTTTTCATTGCTAACATGTTCAAATTCTTCCCAATCTTCAATTTCTTAAATCACCTGTCCATCCACGATATTGCAATGAACCATGATTTATGGGAAATTTTTGGTATTCATTAACTTCTTCGAATGTGAGTTTATATATTGGACGAATGTTTAGTAATGCTTGATCAAATTGACCAAAGTTTCAATGATGTTCACGATATAACTTATGATCTACATGTTCGGAATTTGCACACTTTGTCAAATTTTCCAATTAATCCCAAGAAACGTATGGTTGGGTTTCCAATAAGTTTATGCGAAGGCTATTTAATCTTTCCTTAAGCATCTCTACTATTTTCCAAAGGTGACTTATTCTTGGCCATGACCTTTTATGATCCTGTCCTTGTAATTCACTTATGTAAGCCTAACCTAATTTATTGGTACAAGCTCTCTAATTGTTTCACTTTCCAATGTATCATCAACATCGTCTGGTTCTACGTAAATACCGTTTACAATTTGATAGTCACCTTCGCCTTTACTAGGTTAGCGAGTTCCAAATGCTGTTCATCATCATTGGGTAATCGATGATTCGATCAATCTTTATTAAGTAACCTACTGCATCCGGATTTCTTCATGTGCAAGACGTCACGCGCGTTTGTGTGGCAATATCTGATGTTGCCTGAATTTTAGAACCAGAATTTCCGTGCCTTCTAATATATTCATTTATTAAGGCAATTACAAATTTTCATTATCTTCAACGTTTCGTATTATTACTCAAACGAGGTGCGTGCGAAAAAAAGAAAAAAAAATGTTATACAGTATAGTGGAACATGTAAAACAAAATATCATATACTTTTTATTTACTTGCTAAAATAACCATAGACAAATTATACTTTTTGCGTGGATCCACCAATTATAATCCATACAGCATTTTTACTCGCAAACTTGATTTGATATCTCTAATACTTGGCGTCACGAAATTTTTTTTTGATATCGCTCTACGATATCTGTCTTCTATGTAACGTAAAGTGATTTTACGTATTGGTTCTTCGGTTTGTAGCATACGAATTACGAAAGGCATTTTGAAGATGATTCGATATTGTTTTATATCACATACATCAAGAAATTTATGGTAAAGATTGTTAGCAGGCCACCGGTTAATCATAACGTAACTTTTACCGCTCGATTGATCGCCGATACAATTTGAGCATTTTCTTCAAACTTACTAAATATCCTGTGGTTTCTTATTATCAATATAATTTCCCCGCACTTGGAATAATGGTAATTGAAACATGTTCATCGTATTAGGAAAAAAATTGTTTGTTTTTATATATATCGATTTTTGATTTAGTTAATTCTTTATCTATTTTCATTTTTTTTTTTGCATGATCAAGGAAGTAAAAGTTCTGTTGCGCTGTAAATTTAAGAGATCATTGGTATTTTTAACAAAGATACATTTTGTTCTTTGTTTTCTTGTCCAATTCAATCAAAGTTAATCCGTTGTCTACATGCATTCATGTGAGTTCTCTGAAAGAAGTCATTTTGATAAAAATCCGAATCTCATATTCTTGTACGGGCATTAAATCACACACTACACTAATCAAAAACATAATCACATTGAATTGGCTTTTTTTTCGCTTTTACGCGTCAATGTCGTAAATGTCGGAAACGGTAAGATATATCAAAACCGGATAAATTAGAATCCCAATACAAATTGACAAGAATGGAATTACGCCTGCAATTGTAGAATTGTAGTTCGAAGTAGAAAAGGATAAATATGGTCAAATAAATAGAGATTATATGTTATTTTCGTTCTTAGAAAATCATTATGTTTGGTCAATAATGCACTTATTTGCAAATTATAGATGTGTGGAGGTGTGAGTCATACATAGTAAGTTTGAACAATAAAAGCAAGCCTTCACTTTGTAACATTCATTAAGTTTGAATTGTTAGTTTATAATTAATTTTGTGAATTGATAATTTCGGATTTGTTAAACCGACTGAATGACCAAATGAAAATGGGATGTCATCTTTCCGACCACTATATTTTTAAGAATTCCGATTTGTTCCGATATATACTTCATATTTCTGTTCGTGATTGAAACTCTTCAAGACGTTCGACTTTATCCTTTCTTGATTAATTTCCACTTCCAGATAATTTATTCACTTAGCATTTCTTCGCAACTTCTTGACAAAAAATATACTGCTGTCGTTCTAATTTCAAACGTCACGGGACCGATAATATCCAAGAATCTTCCGAGAACATTTATAAGGATTTCGGAAAGTCATCCCATCCACTGTTCCGAACGTAGCGAATGATTTTTCTACAAAAATTCTTTTTTTCAGATTACCCATTATTATTTGTTCATCAAGTTGTTGATGATATTCTCAATTTGGTCTCTAGTTATTTTTTTTGTGACCATTTCGTATAAAGTTGATTTGTCATTGTTTCTTAATGCACCTGCATAATTCCATTGTAAACTTGCGAGTTGCAGGAGAGAGGAGAGTAAAAGTTTAAATGAAGAAAATAATATCATCAGATACTAGACCAAGGTCTTGCAATAGTTAGAGGTTGGTTCTGTAATAAGAATCGTTGCATTGCATTTTGATTACAACATCAAGTAACGAAGTCCGTTTTTTTGTTGATGATTTGATTGGCCAGATTCTTTTTGTGAAACAAATTGACGAAATCAATAAACGAATTTTTACGCATTAAAATTAATCAAAAATTTCTATTCGCTTATATAAATACCTATCCTGTTCATCGAAAGGCAACTTTATTACCATTTTTATTTTTATCTTCATTAATGGATAACTTTATCAAATTCCCTATAAAATTCACCTAGTTTTTTTTTTATTAATAGGAATTTTTCCTTTTACGATTGCAGGTTGCTATGGAGGTCTCCTGGTGGTAAATTCGGACGATTTCCATGAGTAACATTTTAAAATTACAGTGAAGAATTGAATCTTGCCAAAGATGTCCTAATATTACTTTATTTTCTTTGAACTTTCCTGAGCGTTTCTCACCAATTCATTTCTGGAGTATTATCCCTACGCTTGAAAGAAATGCTCAGTAGAAATACTTTAAAAACGAGATCAAGGATGTTTTAATTTTTTTGCATATGCCTTATGAAGTATCTTTTGGCATCATCAAGCGTACAGTATTTATCAGAGTTTCCTGGAATCAGCCACCATTCTAAGGATGGGACGGTTCAAAAAGAGCGTTCTGGAACCGATTATAAATTCAACATATTGTGGTTTTTCCTGAGTTACAATCCATTTTTAAAAATCGAATCGGATCGGTTCCAAGAGTCGGCTCAAAACCGGATTGTCATCAAATTAAAGATAATAATAGAGCCTCTAAAATTTTTTAATTGATCATCACATGATTCTCTATTAGTATAAATTTAACATCACGCTCAAAATTTTAATTTACTTAAGAAGAGTCGAAGTAGAACCGAAGAGGAACCGAAATGGGAACCGATAGAACCGTCCCCATCCCTATATGCAGCAAATAACATTACCTCTTATTTTGTATCATATCTTTGGATGTTTAGGTTAAACGATATTTTGTTTCATAATTAACACTTATCGGTTTTTTTGAAAAAGGAAACCTACAAGCACATAAAAGACTTGCAAAATACGTCGTGTTGTCCATAAAACTTATGAAAACCTGCGACAGCGCATGCTTCAAGACGTCGCATTCTTGAAATGTTTTCCAGATATTCTGGACAAGTTCTGTACACACTTGTACGTTTTCCAAGTGGTCTTTTTTATAGAGAGAATGATGATGATGTTAATTTACCGTGTTTTCGGTCGCTTATTTATTATTATTTCCAATTTGTTCGATTCAAATGCATTGAATACCAAAGCACAGTCTGTGTAATTATTTATGGGCTTGAAATGTTTTCAACACATCATCTTCAGAAACATTTGCGTTTAAAAATATAAATTCTTTTTATTCTAAATATATTGACTATACGATTTATATTGTATTACAATGATTAAATTTTTAATTAAATATTAAAGAGGGAAAATTTAATCGAATTCCAATAAAGTCGAACAGTTAATGAGAATTTCTTTCTCACTTTCTTTAATATTCATAAAAATTAATCTCAGAAATTTTAGCCTTTTAGATAAATCGTTAGGGTAACATCGTTATAATCAAAAATTTAATATATACTGGGATTTGAAGATTTTTTTTTTTTTTTTATCAAGAATAACACAACACGATTTACATAGTCACAATTCGCCTTCCCTTATCTTGCATACATATACCTTAATCCTCTACTTTTCCCTTGCGATATTATCGGTTTCGCTATTTGACTCCATTAATTTTTCTTTTATCGTAACGTCGTAACTTCGTTAATTTCGTTATTTTAATTTTTTCGTTTATTTTTTTTATTTCCGATTGCTTTATAAAATTGAATTGCGAAAGAGCAACACTGTTTTAATTACATCATTATTATTTAATTGCTTATAAATAAAATATCTTCTAACATTTTCACAAGCTATTTTTATTAGACTTCGAAATATATAAAATTTTAACCAATAAAAATTCGACTTTTGAAATTTTGTGGTAGTACAACTATGAATGTCATTGTTTTATTTTTTTTTATTTGTAAAACCTCGTTTCAGGACAGACTTTCTCATTATTGTATTAAAATGTCGACCAATATAATATGATAGAATGGATAGAACAAAGTATAAAAGAGAGTCATATAAAACACTAAGATTATCATAAATTTAATAACGTAGAAGAGATAGGTAGTGGAGGATTTGGTAAAGTGTTTTAGAGCGAATTGGAAACACAACGAAAAATATTTTGCGTTAAAATCATTTAGTTTAAATGATGCTACCGTTAACGAAATTTTCAGCGAGGTACGTAACTTGCGAAAAGAAGAAAGTGTATTGTATTTAGCAGTACTAAGAAATAATTAATTGTTCTTATTAATTTTTTTTTTTAAAAAAAAATTTAGTTAAGTTACATTGAGATGTTTCATGATGGTTTTTGGAATAACGAAGACTGATTCAAGTAAGCATATCGTTTAAAGAATATTATATATGAATATATATCTTTTTTTAAGGGAAATTTTAAATTTATATATAATGGATATTTATTGGTTTTAGAATATGCACACTTCATAATTATTTAGAGAAGAATTTTCACATTCTTAATCGGCAAGATAAATATAATTTGGAGTTACAATTATCAGATGCAATACATGATGGGAATAGTACATCGAGATTTACATTCCGACAATATACTTATACATCAAAATTCAATTAAATTAGTAGATTTTGGATTAAGTAAACCTATCGAGAGTATTAGTGCTAAAATCTGCATCAAAATAATTGGCGTTCTTCCATATATTGATCCCAAAGGATTTGGTAGTACAAGGAAAAACAAAGGAACAACTGAAAAGTTTAAATTGAATAAGAAAAGTGACTTTGGGAATTATTTTGTGGGAAAAAACCTTTTGAAGATGATTATTATTTACATTTGATTATGGATATTTCACAAGGGTTAAGGATGTTGTTGAAGACACACCTAAAGAACATTCTGAACTTTATACAAGAAAGAGAAAATTTTTTACAGTAAATTTTAGAAAGATTTTATATTATATATATCTACGCTAACTCCCGTTCAAGTCATAGATGTTGGGATGGTGATCCGGATAAAAAGCCAAAGTTATCATAACTTTGAAAGCCATCAAATCCAAACTCCCAAAAGATTAAGATTATTAAAGGTGATAAAGATGAGGAGGATAAAAATTCTCTTGGTGAAAAACAAAAACAGGTAGTTGGTTCCCAATCAAGTGAAAGTACGGCATCACAATTATCCTGAATTTCTGTACAATGAATGAAAAGGATCTAGAATATGACAAAGGGTTGAACTCGGACTCAATCATAGTAGTCGATCATGAACCAAAAGTGAACGACACAGTGGTAGAAGAGATTGTGGAGTTATTTATAAGGATAACGAATGAAGGCAAATCTCGTGATTAGCGTCGTTATAATTACTTATCATCACGTGATGTCGTCATTGGAAGAAATTTATAATTGGTTAGTTGATCACCAAGTTTGTATTTTTCGTAGGATATATAATTTTCAGAAATTGGAACGACATTAGATATTAGCCGGATATTTAGTCAAGCATCGATACAGAATCATCCTATTGCTCAATATTACTTGGGGATCTGTGATGAATTTGGTGTAAACAATTAGCATTTGAAGGTATACTAAAGTGCCATACTTCATCAAAGCATATGAAGGAATTTGTCATGATAAGACTTTTTATTTGTATCAAAAAGCGGCAAATGATTGCCACGTGACTGCACAACATCATCTCGATAATTATTATCGATTAGGAGTTCGTGTTCGGAAAGATTATAATATGGCTTTTATTATGATAATTTAAGAACGTAGGGGGTATTGGCATGATAGGTTATTGTTATTCAAATGGTGTTGGTACTTCTGTTGATAACAAAAAATGGCTTTTGAATTATATCTGAAAGCTGCTAATATGAAAATCATTTGCTCAATATAACAAAAAATTATGAGAAAGCTATAAAAGCTCCTATTAATGGAAATGAATTAGCTATAAAAAGTTGAGTCAAAACAACAGAAAAGAGCATTTTGGCAAAATGACTAAACTTTTAGTTTCACAAGCCTCTCTTCACACCTCGTAGATTTCTTTCCCGTTCCAACAATTTTCAATATAATTTATTTTGATTCGATATTAAATACAATCGCTTGTATTATTTTCATATCAACATCCTTCAGATATTAGAAATCTCTAGTTTACAAAACGATGTTGATACACTAGCCCATTGAAGTATATTTGTATAAAAATTTGATTGGAAGCTTCCAATCCAAATGGTTTTATTAGAAAATTATGCTTTCAAATCTTCCAAAGGTGCTTTTAAATTGTTAAGAGCACATTACTGCACTAGGCGGTGTTTATGTGCAAATTCGAAACATGCCTATATATCAAAGAAATTCACTTTGTTCTTGGGTTTATGCCATTTAGTAGGAATTTATTCTGAATGAAAGAATTTGGATATGGCAACCCCAAAGACAAGATGGTTGGATAATAGTGGATTGATATAATGCTGATTTGCTATAATGCAATAGTTGGAAATTTGTCTTATAATGTTCCATAACTATTACTAGTAACTTGGAAATCTCAGAAACCTGGAAACAGCAATTTTCTGTTTACATATAAATTTGTAACAGTCCTTACAAAATCTTTAATTCATGTGTAATACTATAGAAGACTTATAAAATTCTTCTATTTCTTATAGATATATAAAATATTTAACATTATTTTGAATATCTATGAAAAGAAAAGTTGATAAGAAAAGAGATTAGGTGTGTTTATGGATTTAGAATTAAGGTGCAATAAGGTGTATATATTTATAAAATATGTATTCCTGAAGTTATAATCTGAAATTGTGACTGTATTATAAATATATTTTAATAGTATGTAAAAGTAGAAATGTTGTAATCATTAGTAATATTAACTTTTAATAATTGTAAAATAATTTGAGTTATATATAAATCTGTCCTAAATTTACTATAAATCAATATAGAAAATAATAAAATATATAGTAACTTATCTTTAATTATATAGTAAAAGTTGTTTAATATAATATAATAAATAAGTAGTTATATATTAGTTTAGGTATTTTATATTTATTATAGTATTTCTAGTAAGCAAATTTATTTATTAATTAAAATAAGTATTAATTTTTTAATAAAATATAAAATATTAATTTTAAAATATATATATATATATATAATCAATTTTATTCATAAATAATTTAAGTTTATTAAAAGTTTTTAAAATAATTAAATTTTAAATTTAAATTTTAAAAATTATTATTCTTTTAATAGTTTTTTTATATAATTTAAATATAATAAAAATCACATCAAAAAAAATAATAATTTTAATATTAATTAATAATATTTATATTAAAATAAAATTTTAATAAATGTAATTTTTTTTTAAGTATTAAAATTATTATTTCTTAAAAGTATTAAATTATTAAATAACTAGAACTCAATATAGTCAACCCTTTCTATAATAAATTTTGATATAATAAATTTTATATTATAATAAAATCTTTAGTAATATACAGATTTTTTCATATGAATAAAGTCTTATTATATTGAATTGTATTAGATAAATGCTGTATAATATTTAACAAATTATAGTTTATTAATATAACATATATAAATAATCCTTTTTATAGTAAATTTACTTATACTGGATTTTTTGACACAATAAAAATTTTTTTCAAAGATGTAAAAAATTAAGAATAAATTATTTTAACTATAAAAGATAATTTAATATTTATCTTTTTCTCAAATATAGTAAATATACATTCTTTAATATTAAAATAAGTTAAAAAAAAATGGATTTTACATTTCATATTTCACATTTGTACATTGTATTTCATTTTACTTTTCTATTATTTTTTATTTTTTTAAAAATATTAAGTATTCCATTTTACTTTTTCTATTATATAATTTTTTTAAAATGCTAAAAATAATGTTAATTTCATTTTTATCTGAGATTCTTAAAAAATATAAATCCTTTACTGTAACGTAAAAAAAGAAGTTTATTTAAAAAAATTATCTTTGCTTTTTTAAAAAACAAAAATTAGTTAATGAGTTTGATATTAATGAAGAAATGATTTATAATATTTTAAAGTAAAAGACTATTAATTTACTATAGATCCTAATTCATATTAAACTAGTTTAAAACATGAAAAAATCAGATTTCTTAATATCAAAGAAGCATTAACCATTTAAGTAGAAAATGTTATCTAAGTTAGTCTCATTATAACTGATAATATTTTTTCAACTAAGATTTTAGAGTTTGCTTTTTTATTTAAGAAAATAAATTTAAAGACTCTAATAGGTGAGTCAACAACTTTAAGAAATTACATAATTTAAAATAACATAATATACATAATGAAACTGTAAGCATTCTACTTCAAAATCTTGATACAATGTGAAAAGGTCTCTGTTAAATTTTAAAAAATTATAATTCTGAAGATATTTTTAATTGTAATAAAATGGATTGTTTTAGAAAATGAAATTCAGTTATATAATATCAAATAATTATGTATTAGGAAAAAAAATATTTAAAAGATCATATATTCGTTCTTCTTATTTGTAATACAACTAAAATAAAAAATTATTTCCTTTATTTATATGTAAGTATAAAAAATCTCTAAGCTCTTAAAAATTTTGATAAAAAAAAACTCTCAGTAGATTATTATTGAAATCAAAAAAGTTTGATATAAGTATCAATTTGAAATGAATATATTAAAAAATATAATACTCAAATGAGAAGATAAAATTTAAATATTCTTCTTTTTATTGATAATGTTTCATACATACTTTATATGAAATTATTTATCTAACTAATATTACAATTAAATACTTATCTCTAAATATTACAACATATCTTCATCTTATGATAAGAAATAATTAATAATTTTAAAATAAGAATTGTAATTAATTGAAATATTATTATACTTTATATTTTATTCATACTTTAATTCAAATTTAACTTATTTAGGTATAGTATCAAAAGTTATATCTATAAATTTAAGTTAAAATGTTTGATAATTTTAATGAATTTGGTATTAAACCTAAGGAAATTAATATTAAAAAATATATAAATATGTTTCAAAAGTATAGGATAAAATTTTAAATTCTACTATTAAAAATTGTTAGATGAAAATAAATATTTTGCCTAATAATAATAATGGTAAAGAAAGTGAAATTGAATTTAAGCTTAAATGTCTTAAAAAGTTGAAAAAAGTTTAAATTTAGTCGATAAACTTGATTTTGACAACTGAAGAATTTGTTTAATTTAATAAGTCTGAAATTACAGATGAAATGATATCTGATGAAGAAATTTAAAGATAGTTATACTTAATAAACAAAATAAAAAAAAGAAGATTTATCAACTATTACTTATAATAAAGATATTAGATTATTTGATAAAGTATTTTATAAATAACAGGAAAAATTAAATAATGAAAAATTAAAATTAATTAAAAAGCTTAAAAAAAAGCTTTGAAATAGCAGTTTATTTCTGCATGATAAACTAACCTTATTAGTTTTGTTAACTATAATTGAATTTTTTTATTTTTTTATTTTTTTTATATATTTTTTACATAATTTAGTTATTTTATTTTTTTTATTTATTATATATAATTTATTTTATATAATTATTTAATATTTTTTTTTTATATTTTTTTTTTTGATATTTTTTTTTATTTTGT